AGCATCCAGCGTAGGCTGCGCTGAATTGAAAAAATAAAAAGATTTTCAGATACAGTACTGCACTGCACTGCACGGTTCCTCAAATTTGACCTGACGTCACTGGTGGTAATTTTTAAGTGATGGTGGATTGTGTTGTCTTTAAAGCAATATGCTCCGAAAGTAGGCTGAAAAGCCCTGGTGTGGAGGACTGGTTGTGCTTGTTATCTTCCTCACGATACCTGAGATTCCAATTTTCAGAGAAAGGACTGAGCAAAAAAAAAATATGGGAGATTAACTGAAAAAAAGTATAAACGTATTCGAATGCGCACATAAACATATTTTGCATCCTCCACACAATCAATTCAGCCAAGTACTGTATACCTTTTCTTGTACCTGAGACGCAAACAATTTCGGTCCTAAGCGTCACAAAAGTTTTGTACTGTTTAAGGTTCACTGGAAATTATCTCGGAATGATGAGTGACGGTGGCGCAGAACGAAAAGTCCTGCACTGGAGTCACCAAATATCTCTGCCATCACGTGCCAATAATTAATGGATGATTTGGATGCATTTTAAAATCAAGCGGCTTAACCGCATCATTAAGATATTTCGCAGATTAGCTGACCCAGGCAATAGCGGCAAGCGGTTTTTTCTTGAAGTGAAATGTGAAAAATATTAGGTTCTACCAGATGATAGACATTCTGTCAACATTCCGTTTGAGGTCATCACATTCCGCGAGGCTTCTATCTACGAAAGAAGCTCGCCTGGAAATAACTAGTTGCTAAGGTTAGTTTTCTTTTACGTTTATATACCGTATCTTACTTGACTTAGACAAAGACTAGTGTGATTCCGGGGCACTTCTTTGAATACAAAAGCCGTTCGTTAGTACGACCGACCCGAAACTCAGTAGCAGAAAATACTCGGTGATCTTACAACTCGTTCAACGATTCTTGTTGACTCAAAATGAGCAGAATAACTCAATCTCAGAGCAATTACGTGTGGTGCATTTTATAAGCAGGGGAGCAGCTGCCGTTTTTCAAAGGTTTTCACGAAAACAGAACCGCGAAGAAAACTTCCGTTATTCTCAATTTGCTCAGCGCTCCCTCGCCCCAGCTGTCGACCTAAGTTCGAGTTGACCTTTCCATTAATAATTTAGCTCTAAAAAAGACGAAAGCTCTTTTGCTTGGAAAACTGCGGCCGTCACGGTCGTTGTTGACGTCACCACGGAACGCGCAAAGCGACTCGTTAATCTTTTCCGAATTGGCCTCGTGAAGGCAGTTATTCCGTTGTGATCCGCGTCGTTGTTGGCTGCAAGTAAATATTTGCATTAGACGGACGCCGATATCAACCAGCGCCAATCGACAGCAAATCTCGGCAGACTTTTGATGATCATTCGAACCTAATCGGTCTTTTTCCTGTTCCATGGAACACGATCTGCTACGGTCCGTATTTGTCGTCCGGCGCCCGTGCGCTGTTTGCTCTGAGCAGTACGCGAAATTACTTCCCGAGGCAAATATGAAATCCACGACTTGAATGCATAGTTCCAGATTTCACAAGAAATATCCGATCCTTGTGAAAGCTTCTGAGCCAAGAGGGAAACATATCCCGACTTTTGTAATCATGGAACGGCACGTCGCTACCGCGTTCCTTGGATTGATCTCCAGGGAGATGACCCCATTTCCGCCACCACATGTATGCCCTTTTCTGCTATAGCTGAGCGCAGTTAATCGTCAAATAACTGCTGCTAGAATCGACTGGGTACAACACGCTTTCGGAACACGACAAAAGTGGAATGGATTTCCAACGTGGATCAACGTCAGGTTTTCACATTATTTTTGATCAGATAGATGTTGATCGTAAGCTGAACACTACAATACTTTCCGATCCACATTTACCTCATGATTCTCGGGCTTCACTGTTGAAAAAGTACCCCTAGTCTCGTACAGAATGCCAGGAGAGCAATAAGCGAACGACGTAATGACAAGAGGTATATTGCCCGAAATATTCGAATACAGGCGGCTGTGACTAGAAGGTGCGGGTTTTTCTCAAATCATTTCGAATTTCAGATGAAGAGAGAACCAAGTCGTGAAAATGAGGCGGGGAAAATCCTGCCACAACAACAACCCACGAGATATTTTCCCTGGGTGATCTCTTGGTGTTTTCTGACATTATTTTATTACTGCGAGCATATTTACTCCACCCATCTCTAAACCGCTTACAATTTTTCTAGAATTTAAAATATGGATTTTGACTGCTGTTATATAGTAACACATTTGCTTAATTTTTTGCTCAAAACTCTCTGGGGCAGATGCAGTTTTTTTTCTTCCTAATAATTGCTCAAGATTAGGGTGCAGACGAAAAACGAAGAACTACAGTTTTGTATAGGTAATATCACGCGGGATGCAGGTATGTCTGAGAATAACGAATTTCAAGTTTAAAAATCGAAAGGGATTGGACACCAAAGAAACATTCGAACAATGAAGATGATTTGTAGAGGATATATAAACGGATTCCAGCAGCTGGTGTCGAGGAAGTAGGCTAATACTGTTGGGGGACGAGGTACGGAAGTGGTTCTCGTGGGAATGCGCGGCTTCTTAGAAAGACCGGTATTCCCCGGTCACGGATAAGAAAAGAACAGCAAGGACTTCACGACAGAGACCCGTAAAAACTGAAAGCACAGTCCCAACCGTAGTTGGCGAGAGCCCAAATATTTCAAGACCTTCAAACGAACTCGTGATGGTTTACCAGCCTTTGTGAACGGGACAGCAGTCTTGAAATCGACGTCAGTCCGAAAGCACGCTCTCACGAATTAAATGAACCGATCAAAAATTATCTCAGATTATATCCCATGGCTAGTGATCGGACCAAGTACGCTTTTCTTTGTGAAATATTTGCAGAATTTCCAGGAAAGTCAATGGTACTTTTCAGTGTTGCCTAGAATCATGAACAAAACGTCCCTCAAATTGTCCGTGCTTCGATAAACTGTGTCCAAAATTCGATTCCGCGTCAGCAAAATTAGCGACCGTTACGTTTAAGAAGTTGTAATTCGCCACTTTTAGATTATTTCTCCCTATTCAACAATTCATCGCAGGAAATACAATTCGAGATTCAAAGGAATTTCGGTAAATTTATTTAGTTCATTCATGAAGATTTATTTCATTGTTGAAGATTTCTAAATGTAGTATGCAATTACTGTAACTCTTTTACTGTATTACCTGGTCATTACCGGGAAAAGTGGAGTTCTCCGAACAGTCACTAAAATATATTGAAATTTACGCGACCAAATTGAAATATAACTCTCTGTGGCTGATCTATCCAAAAGCCCGAGTAAAGCAATGTATCGATCGTTTCAATTTCAAATTTCAGCAGTTGTATGCACCTCGAACGTGAGGAACTGTTTACCAGATTGAAGGTGAACTTGTTTTTTTTTTTTCGTTCGTTTCAGGTATATATTCCTGTTCAAGCAGGCGTTTCAGCACAGAAAATGGCGAAGATCGTAACAATTCTCTTGCGAACGACTGAGAATACTTTTCCTGGATGCGACTCAATAAAAAAGAATAGCGCGCTGTTTTCCTCGTCATTGAATTTCTCCTCCCATCATCTGCGGAGTGTGGAGCGCGACCTTGTCGGAGAATAAATGAAGCGTTGAGAATTTTCAGGAAGCTCAGCGGTTCCCGGCGAGAAGCGAAATAGACCATGCTTGCTCATAAACCCCGGGACGGGATTTGATGAGGTCGCAGGAACACCGCGTTCGGGCCAGAGCATTTAAAAATAAACGCCGCGACACGGAAGATCTTCTCCCCGCTCCGACGTGCTGGTGTCGTTGAACGACGGATGAAAGCCCGACCAGCTGTTCCGCGTCCCAGCTTCACGGATTCAAACGGCTTATGGAGCAGCCGAACTCGTCATTTCCCATTCGGAGTAATTCGCGGCTCCCCTTCATCCTGCCCTCCCCTCCCCGCCCTCCCGTACCGAGTCGAGTACTTCATTTAAGAACGCGTCGGTGCTGTATCAACTCTGATACGGGTTCGACGGCGAACAGAGACGTGGGGCTAAGATGGGATGCAGTGTGATGCTGGGACCCACTTCGTCACATTGCTATAGTGCGCTGCTGTGATGTCGGACTTGATGACAGCCTTCCTTGGACTACCCTGGCTGTTCCGCGAAACGGCAGGAGCGACGCATATGACACCGCGTGTACTTCGCGTGTCCCAAGCAATTATCGATGAATAAAATGTGAAAAGGACAATTTTTGATCTGAATGTTCGAAGAGCAACCTTTTCAAATTTTCGGCTATTCGCTTCTCAGATCAAATAACAGGTCTGCCGAGCATTTTATGTGGAGGGAAATGTTACGCCAAAGCATGATGGGGTTAGATAAGTTAATCAATATCCACTCGCTTAGACTTCTACGTTTCCATTGGTACTATAAAATCGAAAGGAAACTTCAACAAAAGTGAATGAGACGGAACTTGAACATGTGCTGGTAGCTTTCCTTCGAAGTACCAAATTCTTACGATTATGAGCTGCGCTTCTTTTGAAAACTTTGTAGGAAAACTCGCATGAGGCTGAATACAGTATCGTGGCATTCAAGTTGAGATGCGTTCTCATACATGCGGTCGATATTCATGGCTATGCAATCGTTTGACATGAAATCATAAAATAGAGAGCAGGCGGTTCAGGCCTCTAATTTCAACGAATTCAAATCGCATTAATTAATCCGATGTAGGTCTTATAATATGTTTCGCCCTCATCAAACCTCAGCCTTAAAAGAAGCACACCATTCTTTAGCTTATGATACAGTACTGTGAAGTCTTTCAATAAAATCAACAGGCCCTTTCCTCGTTTGTAGGCCGGATTCGACCTCCAAAAGTTCAACGTTAGCTGCCAACACTGTCGCGACCCTAAACAATGATGCGGCCTTCACAGTAATTACGTAGATTCGGCAGGGGAATCTTGTGAGAACATGGGTATGGGGGAAAGGGATGGTTTCTCCTTGAGGAACGAATGGTATCGACACTCACCCAAGAGGAGCAGCTTGATGTCTTTCGCGGCTTGAATGCCGTCCTCCTTCAGGTTCTTCTCGATCTGTTTCGAGCGGGCGAGAGCAGCGCGCTCTTCTGCTGACATGGCACAGCCCATGTTTGCCGCTTCTGGATGATCCGGGGGGTTTCAGAGAGCAGCGAAAAGAAAAAAGAAAGGAAACGAACGAAAAACGCCCGAAGCCACTGATCCCGAAGCCCGAGCTCAGTTTCGACGAAAGAAAAAAACTAAGCAGAAGGCAAACCAGGGTGAAGTCCCGTTTCGCGAAATCGCACGAGAAAAATTGCTCACTCGGTGCTTGTGACTCAAGATAAAAGAGCGAGTTCCTGTCGAAGAGACAGCGAGTGATTGTTAATCGGCAAACTGAGCTCCAGAATCAGAGGAAAATCGTTCGTTGGTTTCTCACGGTTCTGTCAACAATCGTGCATACTTCCCGCTATAAAAAAAAATAACGCAGAAAAGATCGAGAAAAAAAGCCTTCTCCCTGGGAATCAACAGCATGCGCTTGGTCTCGTCATAACTTTTTTAACCATGCTACGTCGAAATTGATTTGTCAGTGCTGCATGTCTTCGATCGGAATTTCCATTATACATGTACTTTAAAATTTCTTCATTCCGTATAGGAAGGGATAGAAGAACTGCAAGTATGCCGAAAAAACTGCGTTAGATGTCGAGTTACGAAGAATGAGCTCCTCTGAGGGGATCAGTTCGCTTCCGAAGTCGGATGCAATCAGCCGAATTTCAAGTAAGTTATTTCGCCCACAAACGAGTCGATGACAAATTATTTCCGCTGCGACAAAAATGCTGCAAAGCTAATGATTATCGCGAAAGCTCGAAGCGGGAGCATACAACGCACAGTACTGCACATTCTGTTTGGTCCACTCGGTTCGCGTCACTGAACCACCAGAAGTCCGCATCACTCACACAATAAGCTGGAAAAAATTCTAATGCGAGGCTCGTGAAAAGGGGGGGCTGCCTACACTGAAGGGAAAACTTGCGGGGCATGGATTCGAAGGAGCTGCTCTGGGAGTGTCGCAGCACGCGCTGCTGGGACTCGACGAAAGGTTAAACGACCTCTTCGCAGGATTCGTACATAACCGGGCACTGGGATCAGCAGAGCCGAGGCTGAATACGGGTCATGCACAGGCACAGACCGGTCGGTCGCACTGCAGGGATTGGGAAGCCGGGCCCCTTTTCAGCATGAGAAAGGGACTGATGCGTCGACGCTGACGCTGCGCGGGTCGTCTCTCTCACGTTCCTGTCCCACTCCACCAAGTCCACGCGTATAGCTGCTCGCCTTTCCAGTTCGGCGTATTTCTCTTCCATTCCACGACGCGGGCTGCTTCTGCCCCCCTCTCGTCGAGCTACTCCCCACTGCGGCGCAGCCCACGGTTTTCTGAATCGATCCGGGGTTCCCTTCCCGGCGTCGACCGTTCCAGGGTTGCTCTCTTGATGCATCGTGGGTGGGTCCCAGACGGGATCAAGATACGACATGCCGTGGTCTTTCTCGACGCTCAGCTCGTCTAATTTCATCCGGACGCGGTGGTCGGCCCCGGTCATGGCACCTCGCTGCCACTTGTGGCATATCTGGGTTTCATGGCGACAGGCGAACCCGGATTTGACACTGCTCAAACGACTCCCACGCTCTTCATCCCATTGCCGTCTATTTCAGAGCCTCTCAATTCACAAGAACCCACCGCCGTCATGCCTCGCTGCAGCTCGCTATTATATGTACTGACTTCATTCATTACTCTTCTTCTCTGCGGATGTAGGCTATGTTTAAGGGTGGTTTTAGAACTAATCTCCTGCATTGTTTGATTATTCCTCTATTTCGAATGCTTAGAAGTTCGATCCTCGAACCAATGCGAACACTTTTTTCAATTCTAACCTTGATTGATTCGGAATAAGACTGTTCCTATCGCATGAGGTAAAACACGATTGGAAACACATGTCCGAAAGTTTTGCATCCGAAAAGGTCGTCCATTTTTTTTACTGCTATGGTTGTTGTCTTTGTCCCACTTCCTTTTTATAATGCCTTGCATTGTCCGGCATTTGTTTCGTGAATGGTTCTGAGATCCTTGATATACATGAGCTAGCTTTGTAAATTTAGCAAACCGGAAACTTCATACATGTTCAATAAGGTCCGTTCAATAAGGTTTATATTTGTGGAAACAATCTAGTTAAGTTTTTTTTTTTATAACGAGAAGACCTTTACCTTTAGTGGTACATGGATGATTAGTACCTTAGTACAATGTGTTTAGATGGTTTATGACGGGAGTATGGTTAATTTTAGGTTCTCTCTATTTAATTTAGTCGAGTCGAGAACACGTATCATGCAGCAAACATGCTTTTCATGTTGATGCACATTTTTATATTTTTCGATCAACGATAAATCCAGTACTGAACGACAACGTTTTTCTGTTCTGTGGGTTAAAATTATTTCTCTTTGGAAAGACGTTTCGTGGTTGAAATAACAAAAGATCTAAATTTATCTCCCGAAGAGGGAATTGTAAAATTACAGTACAGTATGATCCAACTAACGACGCATGCGAACGCAAATGTACGTCATTATCAAACACTTTTTTCCTCGCGGCGGCTGGCAGAAACTCCCAACGTTTCTTGATTTGAAAACTTCTCTCAAGTATCTTTATCAATTACGAATTATGAATCGGTTAAATCTATGAATCCATCGATGCATCCACTGAGAGCATCCACATGATGGGGATTGGGAACTTTTGATACAGTAGTGGATTCGATTATGCACAAGCGGCCATGTTTTTCGAGAAGCAGTTTCTTATCCCCTGACGAATATGAAGCAGGGCCTATAGAGCCTGGATACTCCAGAATTCCTGATATGGATGATTGACGGTAATGCAAAGTATATCCCATTTTTTTCCAACGTGCAGTGTAGACTACGCAAATTTATGCAGATTTATTAAACATGGATTCTTCATTTCGTGAACTGCAGGAGGTACCACTCATGAAAAAAGACTTTCTATATCCGATGATTGAATTATGGTGCTAATGAATCGATATGATGACCACTATGGTCATGGCCACGTTAAATATACTGGACCATGAGAAAATCCAAAATTAAATTATTTTTAATTGACTAGAAAGCTTTTTAATTTTCTCCTCGGAAAAGTTTCGACAGTTTTTGTACAGTATATGAAATCTCAAGCTCATTTTGAGACAAAACTGTTCTATGTATGCTTCGTAGCCACAAACACAAATAACCAAGGAGCATTTTTTGCATCCTTCTGCGATGGTAGTATAAACTTGAAAAACTCACACAGGGTTTATAAAAATGAGATCAATTTTCAAGCAGCAAAATCTACAGAATGGTTAAACTACAGACGGACTGTCCACTCTGGTAAAATCTAACTGAAAAGGAGTGAAAAAAGTAGATTCAATTACTCCGCCATTGATTTCAATCTTAAAGCTCACACAAATTATTACTGTAGTATGATCACCATGGCCAATTGAAGAAAGTTTCCAAACAAAGATTAATACGATTTTTCTTCTGGATTATTTATATTTTGACGGTTATCTTCATTTCAGAAGTTCACATGCTGCGTAAATATGCTAATATGAAGTTGAGAGCACAATATAAGGAAACTTCAGAGACGTATGGATCAGAATGCCTGTTCATCACGATTCAAATCCGTTGGTTATACTGTATCCTCATATATTCGTAAACCACACGCAAGTAAGTACCCGAAATCATGATACTGTACAAGCTGACGTATATCAAGAGAAAAGCCCTCAGGTAAAAAATATATAAACACGACAGAAAGATCCCTTAACACAGAAGATACAGTACTTCTATAAATCTTTAATGCTGGAAATTTTGAAATTTTCCAAAATGGAAGACCGAGGAGGATTAAGAGTGGTAGAGAAGCGGATTCGAAAGTACGTGAGCTGCTCTTATCACTGCTTTTGAAAAGGGGATGACGGGTTGGACAACTTTCATGATATTTTATAATAAGTATTCCCATTCATCTGAAGATCAGTTCCAAATTTTTAATTTAGCTTCAAAATGTATTCCTCACGTTATTAGAATTTAAAATTGTTGAGAATTAGTGAAAATTTTCTCAATGAACTTCCTTCAAGCGGTACAGGATGATCGCAAGGAACAAATTTTGATTCAAAGTCGATTTTTATTTTTATTTTCTACCTTTGTGTAAACGTGGTAAAGACATCAATTCTGTTATAACCGTTTGTACTCGCGAATCTATGGTGATTGTACCTGCATGTGTACAAGCTGCATAACACAATTACATCCAACTTTGTCTCCTTTACGGATAATAAAAATAGGGCACGTATGAAGCAATCGTCCAAATAGCCGAGAATTTCATACGAACCGCCATTAATTTTTGAAATACCAGCATACCCGTATTGGACGGAAACAATCAATTCCACGTGAATCATTGATCCGCTGACACACTAAACTCTGGCAGCAGTCGTTGCAAGTTCAACGAGCTATCCGAGAATGGCGAAGTATTCGTTTGAACCTGGGCCACGTGACCCGTGTTACATCAAGATAAGTTTTAGGTCAGCCCAGTGAGATTTCAATTCAATTCCCGCACCCAAGTAAACTTTCCATGGACTGGCATCACCTCTAAAATTGAACACTTCCTCCAACAAAACACGATACTGTACTGTACTTCGAATCCAAAGAACGAGTAGCACAATTTAGCTTTAAAAAGAACAAATGCGCTGAGATTTCAGCATAAAACCGAGGTTTTACGGAAGAATCGGTGGTAAACCTGTCATCGCTGGAAAAAAAATCGGTTACTGCTTCGTGGGAGATATTTCAATCACTTTGATAAAATAAAAATGAACTTCAGTGGTGCTGTGGCCACATTTTCAACCTTTGCGTATCCGAATTCGTGGCCACCAAGGCTTATGCATACATAAGGGGGTTACCTTGTGTATTTATTACAAGTAGAAGTGGCACCATTCGCAATACAATTAAATGAAGTACCTTATGGAACGAAGAAAACGGAGCGTTCGATTACACATTTTGGACGATCACAATGGGGTCTGTAAATCTATCAAAAATGACTATCCTTGTCTATTTCAAGGCGCACACGGCGTCAGATTGAGTTGTGTGCGGTCAGGTTCGTTTCAGGAGGTCAGATGTGCGTCAACCTGACCTGTGAGGCCCTCTATGAAAGCATCGACAAGCAACCACGGAGCAGATCGATCATAACGCGTAGGACCGGAAGAACCGGACGAACTGAGCGAGATCTTCTTTGTAATATGTTGTATCCCCTCACTCATCCTTGCGGGAAGATGGAATTAAAAGTTCACACATACGGTGGCAGTCGGGCTAACTTTTTCATTCAT